CTGTGTTTTTAGGGTTATTAACGGAGTTTGTGTACTCAGACCAGTAATATTTAGGGTCACAAGTTTTTGCCATGGATATTTTGTGGGTCAGAAGACAAAAAGTTTGGGAACCTCTGTGTTAGACAGTCTAACAATTCAACATGTGCAATCTGAGCTTCAGGTTTGATTGCAGATGTTTGCGTATCTTGGTTCTGCAACCGTACGGCGAGGAGATGCGTTTTCAAAGCTCCTGAAGTGAAACGTGTCTGAACAGAGACCGTGCAGCTCCCTACAGCAGATCAAGGCCAGACAGAGTGCTGAAAATCTGCCCTGAGGGAGATGGAAACATTTCATCAGTCATAAATAGATGGACTGGAATGAACAAATTCCCTTCTTTTTACTTTTGCTAATAAGTTTTTCTTGTACTGGAAGTATTTTTTTTAAACATCAAAGCTTCCTTTAAGAAAGCTGCATAATGAAGAGTGATGTCTATCTGGCCTCTACGTTTCTCCTCTGTCATTAAAAATACTCCCAGGTGTGCAGAGAACAAAACCACAGCCTGTTTGCACACAGCTAAAATTAAAGAGTAATCGCACACTGGAGCTTTCTCTGGTGGTGTCATGTTTTGTGGGGACAAACAGAAACTGTTTTCCGCAGAAGGTGAGACTGGCAGGGGTTCTAAAGAAACCTCGGTTGTCATTGGGTCTGAGGAGAATCTGACAGAGATGTTTTTGTCATTTAGTTGTGTTGGGCAGGATTATTTCAGCTGATAAGATTATGTGCTGCTAACATGAACACACCTATGTTCCAMCAAGCAGCCAGTAAGTCAGACTGAAACCAAAGAAATGTAAAGATGGAAGAGGTGGGAAACAAAAACCCACAGAGGGCACAAAAAATGTCACTAAAAATAACTAAGACTTATTTACATAATAGAAACACCATTTAGATCTAATTATCCAAACTTACCCTTTGACCTCATTCAGTGCTCCTGACATAAAGGCCCAGGGTTCTAAACTCTCTGTTCAAAAGGTCCAAATTAGATGTTTAGAGGTCAAAGGATAAATGAAGTTATGACCTCCAGCTAGACGTCCACTGTAGTTTCAGAAGACTCTTCAGCTTAAATATAATGAACTTACTTCTCATGGCTCAACAAGTCCTGGCTTTTCATTTGATACGCAAGTGAACAAATTCAATAAACTGAACTTAAAGAAACTGCAACATCAAAATGATTAAAGTTACAGATGTTCTGAGATCTAGGTCACCATCTGCCTTTGATGAGCTGTCTAACCCTTATCCTTATCACAAAGGGCATTTCCAGATTTTCCATTTTAAGGTTGTTTCACACCCCGGTTCATTTTTGAAACTTAAAAAAAAGAAGGTCTACTGTTATCTTCCTTAGCACATTTAGGTAACATCCACAGGTGTATAATGTAAGTAAAAATAACTTAACAGAAAACGATTTACATTTACTCAACTTGTTTTAGTGGAATCAGTTGACCAGTTTTATCTCATTTGACCTTTATTTATACAGGTAGACTTACTGAGATCCAAGATCTCATTTACAAGAGAGACCTGTTTTGATAGACAAAATTAAAAACACAAGTAATTACACAAAACAAGTAATTAAGAAATCTGACAATTAAAGAAGCTAATAACAGGGTTCCCACATCTTGGTCAACATTCAAGGACCTTTCAAGGACTTTCCAGTACCAATTTCCTCAAATTAAAGAACCACGCGGAACAGCAATTACCTACTGCTACCGCAGGATGTTACCGATAAACAGGTTTAATATCATGTAATTTCAATGAAAAACTGAACAACATAGAAGTTGAGTCAGAAACAATGACGTCAGTTTACTGTAATCCTGAGTTATCCACCGCAACAAAAGTAAGTTTTTAAAATTTCATTTTATAATTAATTTTTTTTAAAGATGATGAAAATCAGTCGTGGTGCGAATAGAGAATTTAAATCCCCAAAAAACATTCAAGGACTTTCAAGGACAAGTGTAATTTTTTGGCCTGTTTTAACAAACTTTCCAGGGCCTAACTAACATTTTACACACATATGGAGAAAGGAGAGTTTTAGAAAAAATATCTGCTGACCTATTCTTAAAAACAAACACCACCACCCATTTAAATAACCACACAGATGAAATAAATTTGACGGGAGCTCAAAAGAACCAGTTTTCCATCASCTCCTAAACGCAGCACGTTATTTGTGACTCTGAAGAGCTGAGGTCTTCAGAGTCACAAATCTCTGTACAAGTTGGTTTGGTTGTAACCCAGTCATTTGTACACTTGTATTAAACAATCATTTGTGCCTGGATTATGCTACACAGTTAGCCAAACCTTTGCACTAATTGTTCTACACGTTTTGTAATTATGAGACTAATTCCTCTGGATGAGTCACTTGATGTACATCTTTCTATGTTTCTTCGCTTTTAGTGTGTCGAACCCATAATGTTCTTCTAATTAGAKAAATGCTTGATATTTACACAATTATTTTCAGTGAGGTTGTTTCTGTGAACAACGCTCAGAGCAGAGCAGGACTACGTGCTGTGAAAGTTTGGAGATGAAGATCCAGCAGGCATCAAAGGCTGTTCCACTGACCTGTCTTATCCTGTCTTCAGAGGAGGGGCTCAGGTATCTGGAGGGCATGGAGCTCAGGTGGAGTGTCACAGCATCTGCTTACAGAAACCTTACAGTCAGTGTATTCTTAAGAAAACTGCCTCTTTACTGACAGGTACACTTAATTCCCCCCATCCCCCTCCCCCGTTCCCTATAACATTAGACAGGTCACAGCTCGTGTTAAAAAGTGGCCACATGTGAACGGAGCGCTGCTGTGGAGACGTTTGACTCAAACTTTATTTGGAGGCCAAAATGCTCCTGATTTAGCTGCTAATTTAGTTAATGAAGGGGGAAAAAACAGCAGAAACTTGACAAACTCACATTATTCCAATTGTAACTTGTTTGATCTTTTAGTTGGTAATTTTTTATTCAACTACACATTTAGTTGCTTTGGAATTTTTTAATCTAATTAGCATGAAAACGTCACCCAAACTTACACAATATATGCCTGGCTTTGCTCACTTATAATAAAAATAATTACGTAAACAAATACTAGTCTTGATTGAGTCCAACCCTTGGTGTGGAAAGATGTTGAATTAAAGCAAGCTAAACTGGCAGCTTTGCAGTTTGTAAGAAAGTAGTTGTTTGCATGAGATTTTACAGTTAGCTCAGAGAAACACGACACGTGCTTTGTAAAGATAAGACTTTTTATTTTTTTACCATGATGATTTGTGACTTGCACTGGATAATTGGTCTCCAAGGACTGTGGAAGAGACAAGGACAAACAACGTTACATGAGAGCAGAGCTGAGGAGACTCATTTTAAAAAGATGAGCCTGTTTGCTTTGTTTAACTGTCTTTTGGCAGCATTAGCTTCTGCCTGTTCACGAGACTCTGCAACCGAGGAAGAGAATGTCTCTCCTGTGTGCAGAGACGGGGAACAGCCTGCCACAACTTGCTCTGCGATGAGCCCCTTTGGCATTCACAGTCACAGCACAGCGAGTTCAGTTCTGGTACATTACTTAGCAGATTACTGCGAGACTTTGGAGGAGCAATGAAAAAAATAAAATCACCAGAAAACAAAGCTGCACCAACACAAACGTAATGTTGGAGGAAAGAAGAAAAAAACGATTGCTTACAATCTTTGCCACAAAGCTGGTGGTGTCTGTGTCTTCCACAGGTTCGGAGCTCCTGTCTGTTAAAAACATAAAAAAAGAGGAAGATTAGTATCAATATTGCAAATAGTGATGTCACCTCCACTCGTTTTGGCAACTTCCTACAAAATGTCAAGAATCGACCACAAAAAAGCACATGAAAGCCACTTCCTGCAGCCAAGAGCATACAAGTTTTATGAGCCTGACGTATTTTTTTAAAAATAAGTGGGCAGCGGAACTAAACACGTTACTGAGGTGACGGCCGACTTACAGCAGTTTGCAAAAGTATGCAYCCCCCTTTGTTTTGTTGCATTACAACCAGGAATTAAATTGGATTTGCAAATTAGATCACACTATACACAAACCTACTACAAATAATTACCATAAATTTTGTGAAATGGGAGGAAGGGGGGGAAGGGGACTAAATTTGAAAAGTGGTGGGTGCATATGTATTCACCTCCTTTATTTGACACCCCAACTATTCCCTTCAGAATCCACATTCATAAACTTAGCACAAATAGTAATTAAATGTGTGTTTGGTAGATTATGTCTTTGTTGTAACATTGCTTCTTGACAATAAATCTTATACTGGGCACCTGATTGATTGGAAGCACCTCGGGGGTACCAGAAGATTAAAAACAAGTGTCTATAGCAACAGCAAAATAAGCAGTTTGGCAGAGAAGATTTGGCTAGTTTTTGTTGACAGTAGATTCCTCAAACGTAGAGGAAAAGGTTCTGATCGGGTGAGAATTTGCACTTTTACACTGTACTTAATGGCCACAAAGGAGATCACACCTGGTGCACAACTATCACCTCTGAGAACCATCAGAGAAATTGGTCAGGAAAGGTGTATGGAGCAAAATGTGGRGACATTTTTGTGGGAATCCTATTTGAGATGAACAGAGATTTAAAGCTGGGACGGAAGACCACCACCCACTGAAATTAAACTCATTTATAAAGGGAACACTTTGGTGGTTTAAGGAGAAATGTTCTGAYGTAACCCAGGCAAAGTCTAGACCTCAATCTAACCAAGAAGCTCTGGTTTGATTTAAAGATTGCTGAACACAAGCAGCACCATCTAACATGAAGGAGCTAGAGCAGTGTAGTCATGTTGAAAGTTTCAGCGGTTACAGGAAACAAAATAATGAAGACATACTGGAAGGGACGCCATAACGGCAGCAAAAGGTCGCTCCACAAAGATACTGACTTTTGGTATTGGTGAATACACATGCAGACCTTTTTTTGTTCATTTTTAGAATAATTTTAAACATTTTCCCACCTATTAAACATGAATCAATCCAATTAAAAATCCAATACAAAAAAAGAAATAATTTTCCAAATTAAACCCTGTGAAATACAATGAACCCAGAGCTTAAAAAGCTGAAGTTGTGCATGTTGACGTGCAGAAGGCGTGAGGTTTAATTTTGAAGCCATGACGAACAGATTTTAATTATAAATCCACTTCTGCTTCATCAGTTCTGCCAAATAAAAACAAGAAGAGTATCAGTTTCAGTGCACTTCCTCTACACTTAAAACGCTAACAGAAACTTGCAAGAACAATGAAAATACTGTAAAATAAGGTACTCTTGCTCTGGAAATGAATATTTTTTTTAAGAAGGACCTTCACGGATGAGTTGGGAGGGCAGCACAAAGGCAGCTTTTCAGTTCCAAAAATACCTGAACTGAGCGACAGAGGCCGTCATCAGTCTACGTCACTGTAAMGTCATTGTATCCAAAGGGCTTCAAAATAAAGAGCAGCCTTGGCCTTTCTTGGGTTACACTCTGAGGATGAAGAGGTTCATTTGCATGGGAAGCTAGAATTAGGATTAAGCAGCTGCGGGTTTCCGACCTGCAGCATTTCAGGTGTAGACAGAGTAGTCGTGTGTGTGTGTGTGTGTGTGTGTGTGTGTGTGTGTGTGTGTGTGTGTGTGT